TACGTGGTCGGCGCCTGGAAAGGAGAGTCGTGGTGCGGGGGCCCTTTTTTCCGTCGGACCGCCGGTTTGCGAAATGGTGGCGCTTCTCGTCTCGGAACGGGGAGATCTGTTGGGCTCGATGAGGCTGCGCGTTCCTCTTTAATCGCTGTCCGCTTCAAGGGTAGCTACGAGCGAGGGAGTTTGAGGGACTGAGAGGTGCCGAGTTCTCCCATGTTGGAGAACTCGTCGGTGTCCGGGTCTTTTAGGCGGCCCGGTGTACTTTTGTGACTCACTGGGTTTTTACAAAGTTAACGGGCGGGAGAAATCTCTCTTCAAAGATGCCTCGAAACAGTGCTTCCAGTCAGGAAGAGAACTAGCAGAAAAATGCTAGATCTGCAAACTTTAAAGATTTGCTGTGAAACAGGAATTGACGCATGTGAAAACAGCTGGGAAGTCTGGGAAGAGTCTGAATTTCTTTTCTGTCCTCTTGAAATGCTCTTGAATGTGCCTTTTATTCACTAGGGAAACGCACATTTTTTGGTGGATGCTGAAGTTAGGAAGCGGTAGTCTGCTGGTTTTTCCTTTGCGTTTTCCAAAGATAGAGACACATTGTGGTGAGAAACTGTACAGGCAACCTGACTTCCTGTTGCTTCTGAAAGGTTTTGGGCTGGGAATGTCTTGGCTCCCTAATATCATCGTAAGGAGTTTTTCAGCTCTGGGCCGTGCTTACTTTCTGTAGGGAAGGTGCAGGCTTTGTATTATCTCTTTACAGTTTTGCCAACCTTTCTGTGAAATACCGCATCAGTATGAAGTCGTGTGTACCAAATGTTATCTTTTGAGCACAATATGAGTTGTTACTGACAGCTGGAAGGTAACGTCATGCGGAACACATAAGCAGGAAGCCAGGTATCTAGTGTAAATGTGTATTACTCACTGCTTCAGTTTAGGCTCGGTCATTTTTAGACTTAACAAAACAGGAAGTTACCGTCAGCTCGGCTTGATGATATCGTTGGTTTCGCTATTCCGAATGGTGCTAAATCGACACCCAGTTTAATAGCTTGACTAAGCTGGTTGAACTAACATTTGGGTTTGAGGAGTGTAAGCTGCGTTTTTTTTGTTTTTGTTTGGTTTTTTTTAATAAGAAACCCCCCATCATTTCTATTTCCCTTTTGAAGCGAAAACGATGATCACGGTAACTTGAGGGTTTTGTCAGTTGTAACTGGAATGTTCACCTGATGTTGTGGTCTTGCTTCCTGTCACAAACTTGTGCAAAACGTTGTTTCTTGGCATGTTAGGTCTGCTTTGCTGGGTCCCGGAAGTGGGGGAATTTCAAGAATCGGCAAAGCAGTTGGCGTAGTTCAGGCTTACTTTACAGAGGGGGACAGGTAGTATTTTTCAAGCGGCTACTCACCGGAAGGCTGCTGAAAGTACAGCTGTGTAGGAAATTATCTTTGGTGACTGAAGGTGGTGGGTTCAGCTTTATCGAAAGGGGGAAAAAGTTTGGTGTGTCTCGATAATTAGCACCGAGAAGACAGAAGAGCGAGTACTGTTGTTGCACGCTGCCCGGGAAGAAGCAGTTCGTAAAATACAAAGGTAACCTGATGTGGTTTACTTAGAAAAAAATCCACGTACTAATTGTTATCGTCTGCTTCTCTTTCAGATTGAAGCAAGTGAATTCTGATATAACTCAACTTTGTTAGAGGGCTTTTTTTAAAAAAAAGTTGATCCACAGTGCATCAGAGCAAGTTACTACTTTACTTTTGAGTGACTTACAGGTGCTTGCCTGCATTGCAATAAAGGACTCATATATTGAGCAAGACTTATTTATCTCTTCGTTTTGGAGAGTCTAATAAACTGTTATTACAGTTTCTGTACTGACTTTCAAAGTTTTGAAGTCTAAAAAGACATCTTTAAAAAAATAAAAACATGAGCACGGCCAGAACAGAGAACCCTGTTATAATGGGTCTATCCAGTCAGAATGGGCAGTTGAGAGGCCCTGTAAAACCCAGCGGGGGCCCAGGAGGTGGAGGCACACAGACTCAGCAACAGATGAACCAGCTGAAAAACGCCAACACAATCAATAACGGCACTCAACAGCAAGCACAGAGTATGACCACCGCTATTAAGTAAGTGTTTGTATTGGCTGCCACAGAACTAATGTTTGAAAGTCACGTCTGGGAAACTGTTCTTGGGTTCCCGTGTTTAAAAAGTTTTTCTTCTGTTGTTTTGTGACGTTGGCGGTTAGAAGTGTCCTGGGATGGGCATTATGAGAGGAAAGCTGTATTTCCGCGCACGAGCTTGTCTCTGACTGTGATCTTTGCAATGTGTTTGTTGTGGAAATCGAATTGGATGCTTTGCTTTTCAGAACATGTAGCCACTTGTCAGAGGTAGCCCACTGAGCAGCAGCAGCATCCTGTTTGCTCATTGCAAGTGACGTGAGAGGGAAGTTGGGAAGCGGGAAGGACCTGATCTGAAATTTAAGACAGAGGAGGAAACGCCACCTAGTTTCAGTCCAGTTTTGTATGCTTTTCAGTTGTTTGTTACAGTTCTTTCTTGTGGTGAGAATTTCTTTAAAGTCGGTTATCTTTTGTCATGGATCTTAAATAGTAGCGCTTGCTCTCCTCGGTGTAACGCTCCGGCTTTAATTCATCAAAGCCTGAGCTGAGATAATATGGTACCGCTGTGATACCCTCCTGTCATCAAACCTGGTTTTGGGGGCGTGCTAATAAAACGTGAGCGTGCTGCTTGAAAGTTCTGAAAGGTGGAAAAGACTCGGATGGTACGGTAATGTGTTCTTTTCCTTTTTTCCCCCTGTGGTTTCTCCTCCCCCTGAACTACATTGTCTTTTATTTTGTTAGTTGATAATTTGCGAAGGAACTGCCAGCTGTTGTCAGAGAGTGCGTAATGGAATGCTCAAGTTCTTAAAGTTTGCCTTTCTCCTTTCCTCCTGCCTGCCCCCCCCCCCTTTTTTTTTTAATTGGGTAATTAGTAATGAAACTGATGAGTGAAACTCATCAAAACTCACTCATGACTTCCTGGGACTGGGGAAGAGAAGGACTTACTCTTTTCTGTACGGTGGCTTTCGAGAGAGGATGGGTGTCTAGGTCTCATTGAGAGCGGAAGACAACATTTGATCAACAAGTGGAGTGTGTGCTTGCTTACTTTTCTCCCCAGAGGTGTTTTTTTAATCTTCTCACATTACTCGTGAGTTAAGAATGGAGGTTCCCTGGGCAAGAGAAGATTTCCCCCCCCCTTCTAAATGATGAAATATTCTTTTGTGGATTTATTATAGCAAGTTTCTGTCATATGACTAAGTCTGTGCTCAGTTTTGAATATGTGTTCTACGGGATTGATTAGGTACCCTGAAAATGGGGCTTGAATCGTGACTGGATAAAAATTTCACAAATTTTCTGTGCGCTTGGCAGGCTGATGATTTTCTCTGTTTATAGTTTCCTGCCTGTTGCATCCTGCTTAGCTCAGAGAAGAGTTGAGCTCATATGCGTAGGCGCTTTTAGCTTTTAGGAGGTGAAAATATTACATGTTCATCACTGTATCTAAGGAAATTAAAATGCAAAATGAAGTTATTAAACCAGATTTTTTAAGATTTAGTTTTATTTTATTTTTGCTCTAGACCTGGTGATGACTGGAAGAAGACTTTAAAACTCCCTCCAAAGGATTTGAGAATCAAAACTTCGGTAAGGATGGTTGAACTGTAGGAATAAACATTAAATAAAAGATGTGGGAAAAGCCGCAGTGGCAAAATATTTGTCCTGAGCAAAGATTCAAAAGCAATTCAGCTTTTGCTGTTTGAAATGAAAAAAAAAAAATATTTTTTCACAACTGCTTAGGAGAGATGCTTCTCGTGGAAAGATCGAAAACGGGTTTACCGTGGGTTTCTTAGCTTATTCATGTTAACAGTGGGACTGATTGTCGGTGTCTCTTGCAAGACAGATCGAAAGATGTCAGTGTATGTTCACGGAACTGTTTTTGGTTATGAGAAAGCTAATGTTTCCGCTGTACGGCATTGCACCGATTAGTGGGAACTCTTGTATAGTAATGGAATGCACTTCGTGGTCTTCCTGCGTGGGCAATCTCTTATCGAGTCAGATCAATTTACGGCTGCAGGTTGTATGACCTAATCTTATATATGTGCTTTTTTTTGATTGTTCAGGACGTGACCTCCACAAAAGGAAACGAGTTTGAAGATTACTGTTTGAAACGGGAGTTGCTGATGGGAATTTTTGAAATGGGCTGGGAAAAACCATCTCCTATTCAGGTTATTTACAAACAGACTACTCACAAGCAGCTTTTAATTTTTATAAATTTACTGAAATTCTTATTCGTGCTCAAGCGTTGGATACTTGTGTCGTGGTGTGGGAAAACTGGGGTTGCGAACGGTAGAACTTAGTGGCCCTTTGGTGAGAATTTCTAACGCCCGTCTATATCGCTAAGTCGTGCAGTGGGTGACTTTAGAGGTGGGACTGACTTACGCTGTAGAGAGGTTAACTTGGATTTTCCTTTTCACTGTGGAGGGCTTAGCGTGTTAATTCCCTGTTCCGTAGCATCCCTCGCGTAAGTAGTCCCAGCGAGGACAGGGATGTTGTGTAAATTTTCCACAAAACTGAGTTACTGTAGGCTGCATACCTTTAGTTGTTACAAGGATAACTATGGCTTTACCACACAGTCTTTGCCTTTTTGTTGTAAGCATCTGGAAGAAGCGTAATGGAGGTTGTGGGAGAGAGATTAATGTTAGCAAGTTCACTTTTCTGTCCCTCCATCTTGCTTTTACTTTTAAGGCTTGTTCTGTGAAGACCTGTTGATGTGTAAACTTCAGCCGGGTGGGGAGGTGGAACTCTATTTTAATTGCTCTTTGGAGGGTTGTCGCTGACACTTCTCTGCCATTTTACCGGCTTAAGGCGTGAAAAACCTGTGGCTTTTAGTTAATTTGTCTGCTTTCTAGCAGATGCTGAACTGCCGCTTTTCCAAAAGGCAGAGGGTTCTTTAAGTGTTGCTGTGAAAGAAAGTAAAGTGAAAATTACTCGGGGCCTGTGTTTGAGTAGCCGAAGTTTCGAAAGGAAAGCCTGCTGGTTTTATGAAAAGTATATCACAGGAGTGTGCAGGTTTGGATTGCGCGGGCTGAAGTGGTTCCGATATTAAGATGTCGGTGGGTTTCTTTTTCCATAGGAGGAGGTTGCTATTTTCATTTTTTTTCCTAACGTGTCGGTATGGGTTTACTGTTCCTGTGGCACCTGATCCCTTGTTCTCTTATGACCGGGCAAGATAAGGACTTCTAAGTGGGATATGGGGAGCAGAGCTATTGCATTGCTGGGGAGCTCTTTACTGATAGGTATAACTCCTTCCTGTTGTGAGTCTGCGATGCTTGCGGCTGCAGGATATTCTGTCCGTGAAACAGCCAGATTTCACATGATTCTTTTAGCGAGGAGAGTGAAATTTGGCCAGGCTCTTCAGCGAGCGTGGCTTGTGATTGCTCATGCGCTGTCTGTCATTGCATTTCAGGAGGAGAGCATCCCCATTGCTTTATCTGGTAGGGATATCTTGGCTAGAGCGAAAAATGGAACGGGCAAGAGTGGAGCCTACCTCATTCCTTTACTTGAACGGCTAGACTTAAAGAAGGACAATATACAAGGTCAGTTGAGATGGATCTCGCTTGGCTGCATCCGGGTAATGGTATTAGTTGCTACGTAGCCGACTTGAACCTAAAACTGGTCGATGAAGTTCAGCAGCGTAGGTTTTCTGCTGGTGCTTTCGAAGACAGTTAATGAGGAGTGCTGGTGGAGAGGTGGAATTTTTAAAGTCCCACCGTTGCTTTCAAAAGCTCAAAATGGAAGACGTCTTCTAAGCTTTACCGTCTTGCCCTGGGAAGCGGATTTGGAGTAGTAAGCAAGCGTGCTGGCTGGGGGGGGCTCGTGCAGAGGGAACGTCAAGGGATGGGAGGGCCTTTGCATGGAATTTGCCTTGTCATAAGCGGTTTTTGGGTCTTGTTCAGGAATATCTAGAGTGGAACTCCAAAACCATAGAAGTACAACTTTTGTAAAGTCTGTGTCTCCTCTAAGGATTAGTATTTAAGATATGGTGTGCTACTAGTAACTCGCGCTGATGTTTTTAACTTTCAGCAATGGTGATTGTTCCCACCCGTGAACTAGCCCTGCAGGTCAGTCAAATCTGTATCCAAGTCAGCAAACACATGGGAGGTGCCAAAGTGATGGCAACAACAGGAGGAACCAATTTGCGAGATGACATAATGAGGCTTGATGATACAGGTCGGGGCGCTTTCGCTACGCTACAGTTGTTGTTTGTTCGTGGCTGTTACAGCGTGGCGGTGGAATTTCTGCTTGTTGTTATTGTTTGCCTGTTACAGAGCAGACTACAATATCTCTTGCTCGCTGTTTGTATGCTGTCATTATTCTCTCAAACAATTTGTATGAAACATGGCCGTGAACGTTGGAAACATTGTTTTTGCCATCTTAACAATTTTTTTTACCCTTCTAACCTTACAGTGCATGTGGTGATAGCTACCCCTGGGAGAATTCTCGATCTCATCAAGAAAGGAGTAGCAAAAGTCGAGCATGTCCAGATGATAGTATTGGATGAGGCAAGTCACGTTAAATGTTTTCGGCTTTTAACGCGAAGTTAAAGCGATGTGTCTCAGCGAGTCTCCTCATTATGCGCAGCCACTAATCAGACTTGCTCGGTATTTTTGAGAAGGTGTTTTGGCAGAAGAATTTTTCTGCACGTGACACTTTTAAGAAAACAGCCTAGGAAGATTTACCGTTCCCATCTTCTTTGCTATTCCTGAAGAACAGATTAATAGTCTATTCTGAATTGAAAGAATGCATTTCGCTTGGTTTTGGTTTATGATGAGTGAGCTGTGCTTACCACATAACGGTATATAAAACTGATGTGTGAACGTCGCATAGCATACGGGCTTCTGAGTGAGAGGCTGTGAAGGTAGTTGCGTGAAAGCTCTCGGATGACGCCGATAGGACTCTCGATAACTGCTTTCTGTTTAGATTCCATTTATTTTTCCTGAATTTGATTCTGTTTCGATCAGAGTGCTGAAAACCAGGAGAGGATAAACTTACTGATGAATCCCGTCTCCTGTAGCTAAATCGCACATCTTTTGGAGCGTGACGTGTGCTCCAAAGGGAATGGTCCCATCATAAGGGCAGGGAGAGAGCTTCTGGTGTTTTGTTTTGTTTTTCCCCAGTGTGGTACTACCAGAAGACGGAGAGGTTGCCCCATGAAACTTACTCTGTGGTACTTCTGTTGTTGCAGGCAGACAAGTTGCTGTCTCAAGATTTTGTTCAAATAATGGAAGACATTATTCTCACGCTACCTAAAAACAGACAGATTTTGCTCTACTCAGCCACTTTCCCTTTGAGTGTACAGAAGTTCATGGTGAGTGCAGGTGTATTCGCGTACGTATGATGGTGGCGACGTTGCCTGTGAAGCATGTGAATGAGCGACGCGTAGCGGTTAGCGCTTGGCCTTTGAATGCATCCAAACTTCACTGGTTTAATCTAAATCGGCTTAATTCTAGGACAGAAGTTTGAAAATAATTTTTGACCCGCAGTAGCGTTAAAGGGAAAGCTAGGTAAGCGCAGTTCTTGCCCACAGGGTCCTGTTTTCCACTTTGTGCATTAGTTATGTGTCGTCTGCACTGATTCGCTTCCAGGGGTTGCTGCTGTTTGGCGTGCTCGGTCGCCTTGGATTTAGAAGTAATTCTTTGTGAGATATGACACACCCTGTCTGTTTTGTGTATAGCATGAAGAGCCAGTGACGAGGTAATGCATCCTTGCCACGGAGGAAGTTAAATGTGCAGGAGAGTGGGAAGTACTTAAATGTTGTTTTGCACGTAGATATGCCCGCTTTATCCTTATCTTTATTTTTCAGAATTCCCATTTGCAGAAGCCCTATGAGATTAATCTGATGGAGGAGCTGACCTTGAAGGGAGTTACCCAGTACTATGCGTATGTAACTGAGCGTCAGAAAGTACACTGCCTCAACACGCTGTTTTCCAGGGTAAGCGGTAGGGCTGGTTCAAGAACATACAGAAGCGTTTTGCCTTTTAGAACCAAGAATAAGACTAAAGGTGGCAAAGGGTGTTTAACGGCACTTACTCCATGTCAAAACATGCTAATCTTACGATACAAGCTGAAGCTAGAAATGCGTGCTTCTCCTCCTGCGCCTTAGTGTTATAGAACTTTGTTCATTTTTACCCCTCTTGCACAGAAATATATACAGTAAAGTACCGGTGGCCTACCTGCTTTTCTTTCTTTCCAGAAGGAATTTAGACTTATGTCTTGGATCGTTTGTTAGTAAAACGCTGTATTTACTGAGCACCCTATCTTTATGTTCAGCTCCAGATTAACCAGTCGATCATTTTCTGCAACTCCTCTCAACGGGTTGAATTGCTAGCCAAAAAGATCTCCCAGCTGGGCTATTCCTGCTTCTATATCCACGCTAAAATGAGGCAGGTGAGTACGAAGTTAACAACGGTTTATTCCGCAGCACCCCAAGCTTTTACTGCATAGCTGAATTAAGTCTCGTGGTTGTTTGAGAACCCCGCATTCTTCGAAAACTAGAATGTGTATTGCTTTGCTGTCGATTTGTGTTTTAGACTTGCCCCCCCTTAAATCTCTTTCTGGACTATTCAGTGTAGCTGCTCAGTTGATATTGAAGTGTACTTCAGTTCAGCTTAATTAGTCCAGTGTAAGCACATCCAGTGTAAGCACAAGCCGCGGCCAGAAGGCACAGTTCTTATTGCTTGCTGCCTTGCTTTTGCCAGCGTGGGGAGCCATGGTAGACCGCACAGTGCAACTAACACAGATGAAAGCGAGCCTGATTTAAAACGAATGACAAAAAAAACAGCACTCGGCCGACCGAGTGCCCTGCGTGGCTTTGCAAACAGTAAATCTTGCACTGTGACTGCAGGGGAGTCTGAGAAGTCGGGGAGGTGGCTTTGGTCAAACCTCTTGGCGAAAGCTGCGACTGGTTCATGGCCGCTGAACACCTTTGGCCTTAGTGTAGATGATGAGAAATGCCAGTGCAGATTTGCTGATGCAGATGTTTCTGTTAATTGTACGTTAGCTCACGCATCCTCGAGCTTCATACTCACGATTTACTCGTTTTCAGAAAGTGTACTAAAACATGCTGTCAGCAGGTTAAAGTGACGCATGTGAAACAGTAGTACTTTGAAATATTTTTTCATTTTAGATGTTAGATCCATGAACATATGTTTACGTTTACTTACGTAGCTAGAGTAAATTCAGGTGAAAGCTTTAGAGGAAATCTAGCTTGCTGTTCGTGGAACCGATGGGTAGTGCCAATGTTTGCTGGGCTGTACGCAGACCAGTAATTAATTAAGCAGAAATAAAAATGGCGTGTCACTATTGAGAAAAGAAGGGGATGCAAATGGGTTCCTCGAAGTCTGATTTTGGTAAGCTGTTCATCGGTCAGTGTGCCATCTTTGTGGCAAAATGCAGGTATGCTTGTGCGGAAGCCTTCAACTTCTTCGTTCCCGCTGTAAATTTCACACTTCAACGGTGATATTACTTAATCTTTCTGTGGCCTAGAGTGACTTGTTTGTGAGAGGAGTCTTCGCAGACAGTTGACTTTTCCCACCCCTAATTCTGAATTGGTAGTGAAAAATACTCCCTACTGCCGACTTTGGTTTTTAAGGGAATAAAACGTGCGTTGAATTTGGCAGGGGGCTGGGGGAAGACGATAGTCAAAATACCAGTTTAGCTTCCCTGATGCGTGCTTCCTAGAACTGTAGTTTAAGATACTCCTGTTCCGAGAAGGATTCGATGCGACTGTAGCAGGCTTTAAAATGCAGTCAGTTGACTGTCTAAAAGTGGTGCCAAAGGCCCCACTGGTAAGTTCTTTAGATGGGTAAGAAGTGCTAAAAAATACATACTAGCAGCTTGCTTTGACTCGGCTGTTCTCTAATGACAAGGGGGAGGAATTAATGTGGTTGAATTTTAGTGTTTGTAACTTGGATATACCTGAAAGTCATAGCTGTTTGGGGTTTTCTTGTTTTGTTTTACTTTGTTTTAATATATGTATATGTGTGTGTGTGTGTGCGTGTGTATTTCCAGGAGCACCGCAATCGTGTGTTCCACGATTTCCGAAATGGCTTATGCCGCAATCTTGTTTGCACTGGTAAGAGTTCCTAAACATTTTCTTGTTTCTAAAGGTTGCGATAGAAAGCGGATTCGCCCTTAGCCCAGGTGTAGCAGATCACTTGATTTGTAATAAAGCAAAACAACATGTTTTGGTAAGATGGCTTTGTCAAGCGTGCGTGTAGCAGGATGCAGCACTGCTTTAGGCGTGTAGATTTTTGTCTTTTGTGGCAAACCGTGAAGGTGCAACTTGCTAACCAGTCCTTTTACTGTGACGGTATTTTCTGCACTAGTTGCATTTTATGTGTATTTTCATATGTGAGTGCTCTCTGAATGGTTGAGCCACTAGGTTTACAGTTTTGATTGGCTTGTGTGCGATCCGAGCTCTCTGCGGTACGGCCTCCGTTGGGCAGTACTGTGAACAGTGTCTGCTGATCGTACGCGTGTCTGTGTCGTCTTAACAAAAAGTACTAGAAGCGGAATAAAAATAGTTCAGCCGGTGGGATGTAGTTCAGATCTCAAGTCTGTTGTGGCACTGGCAATGCTCAGTCGTGTGTGAGGCGACGTTTGTATAAGACGACCTGCTCAGAAATAGTCTAACGTGGGAAAAACTAGCTTCGTGCTAATTACTTTTTTGGCATAGACGTGCAGATCTGGTGTTTTGGTCGTTCTTCTTGTATGAATCATGTTTAAAATTGATAAAGAGCAAGAAGCTGCCGTGACAGAATGGCGTGTAAACTGTCTTCTGATACGAGGGAAGCTTTTATGTGGATACTAGTGCAAGCCAATGTTAATCACCGTGAATGTTTCCACCCTAAATACTGTCATCATTTGATCTCATTGAAATTAACGTCTTTTGTGACGTGGATTGTATTTCAGATCTGTTTACCCGAGGTATTGATATCCAAGCTGTGAATGTGGTGATAAACTTTGATTTCCCAAAGCTGGCAGAGACTTATCTCCATCGTATTGGCAGATCAGGTGAGAGGAAAAACGTCTTTTAGGGACAACGTTGCTCGCAAGCGTGATGTTTCTTAGGCTTGAACTGGCTTCTGTTTTTTATTACTGTGCCTGAGAATTATTTTAGGTAGCTTTGATTTTTCTGACAGATTTATTTTTGGGTACCATCTCAGATGGTTATCCTAACAAATTCCTGAATAAAGGGCTGTTGTCTTGAAACTGGTCTGAACAGCCTAATGGAGGGGAGCGTGGGGGCGGAAAGGCGTATTTTGCTTTAATCTCAAGAGACTTGCTGATGCTCCTGTTTGCAGTTTGGGAAAATTCTCTACTGAAAACTTAGCTTCCACAGTGTCTTAAGCGTAGTGTTCTTCTGCATGTGCTCCGAGGTATGTTTCTAATGTCTCGACATCACTAAACTGTACCCTTAAGAAAGGCAGTAAACGAAGGTACTTGGTGTACTTGAGCTTTGTAGTTCGGGCTTTTTCAAGAGCTCTTGTCATTGAATACGGGCTGGACGTGCATAGTGCACTAGTGGAAGACATTTGTGGATAACTAACGAGGAGATTTGGTCAGAGCATTGTGAACCTCCTGGGTTTTCTTACTCCTATAACAGTAGAAAACTCCTTACCAAAACCCGATGTGTTGTAGAGCCCTGCGTCAGGGTCCGGATCTGCTTTTATCGTCAGAGCGCGATGTTAGTAACTCCGCAGTCTGCAGACTTTTTCAATCAGCCTTCTGTTCATCAGTTCAGTGTTATGTGTGTTTTTGTTTTGTGGTGTTTTTTTTGTCAAGGTCGCTTTGGTCATCTTGGCCTGGCCATCAACTTGATCACCTATGATGACCGATTCAACCTGAAAAGTATTGAGGAGCAGTTGGGAACTGAAATTAAACCCATACCAAGCAACATTGACAAGAGCCTCTACGTGGCAGAATACCACAGTGAACCTGTAGAAGATGAGAAACAGTAAACATGTGCGTATTTAAATGCCTTCCTGAATAGGGAAGTTGTGTTGGGTGAAAGAGGAGCCGGTGTGTGAATGTAACCGCAGGGGAAGAGGGAAATCGATGTGCTGGAGAGCCTCTAAATGTGAAATCGAGGATTCGAAATAGATTGTCAGTGCAAGGAATTCTGTGGATGTGCTGAAGATGGGAGGGGAGGATGAGCAATTTTTAGTTGTTTAAACTGAAATGCTGACCCTACGCTAAGGAGACCAAAAATGGGTTAGAAGAGGGAGTGGGGAACGGTGTTCGGAGAGACCGGGAGGGCTACTAGTAGCGTAAGGAATTCTTTCTGTATTGTTTAGCTAATATGAGAAATTGGTGAGGGGCAGAGGCGAGAGGGGTTCTCAGAAAGGTGAGGAGAGGAAATGGATAGGTTTGAGAACAGCGCACCGACAGAAGAGCCTAAGCACCTCACCAGTTAGAAGGAACAGGTCCAAGCTGAAGGTGCTGCATCTTTTGCATCCGTTGGTTCCTAGAACTCTTCTTGCAAGTCGACACAGTAGGTAACGGAGCTGTAATGCATCTTTGCTGCCGCTTGAGGTCGCCTACATAGCTGTAAGAGAAAATAAGGTTTTTGCTGCTGGAGAGTCCTCTAAGCGTGCCTTTTCTGATAGTCTGTGGAAGAAATGCTGAGTCGAGTCCCTTTGTAAGAAGAAAACTCGCCCTGGATTGCAGTCGATCAAAAAAGCTACAGGATGGTGTTTGATCTGTTTTTAGTTAAGATGCTGTATTGTGCAAAATCAGACACCGTACGGTTTGGGTTGGAAATCATTCTTTTGCGTACTCTTCTCAGAGATTGCGAATTAGAGAATCTCAGTGAAGCCGCTGACATTCTTCTCGGGTGACAAAAAATGAAAGCGGCCATAGAAGCAGACCGCTAGATGGCATTAAAATTACCCTATGTCCTTTCTTTGAAATCGTTCGAGGACAGCCCTAGCCAGTCGCTCTCGGCTGACTTGCAGCCCCTGCTTTGCTGGCCGAGCCTTCTTCATGTTTTACAAAGAAATTAAAAAAAATTAAAAACAAGCCCAGGTGATGAACTTGGAAAAGGCTCTTGGGTGGCTTCCTTAAGGGGAATGCTGTGACCTCGTCCGAGAACTGTTTGCCGCTTCATGAAGGACAAGAAACCAGTAGGTAGTTGTGCTCCATAAGTGTAGTAGGGCATTAGCAGCGCCTCTTTCTGCGCAGCTGTGGTTGAAGTTGAGCTGTTCCAAATGCCCTTTGCTTTTCCAGAGCTGCTACGTAGTTGGAGTGATTCATTACTTACGTTTTGGTGTTGCGTATAATTGACTTAACTGTGGGTGTTGTGGTTGTTTTTTTGGTTTTTCTTTTTTTAGGCTTTGATTACACATGCCAGAAGGTGAAGCCCTATGATCCGGATCTGTGACACATCATTTCTTTGGGGATACCCTTCTCTTTGTGGGTTTTTCTTCGTCTTTTCGTTTCGGAACTGTGAAGACTAAAGAGCTCGGCCTTTTTTTCTTTTTAAATTTGGCAGCAAGGAAGAAAGAAGATAAAAGGAGGAATGTCTTTTTGTTTTTCCACTTGTTTGCACTGTGTGCTGATTGAACATTAGTTGCACTAACTGCTGGTTTTAAATTTTTTTTTCTTTGGGTGGGAGGGGCAGCAAGGGAAGAAGAATAACCCTGAAAAGAGAAGAATCTTGATGAACACGAGCTTGTCTGCTATTTCAAATTCTTCAACCGTCGACTGAGTGCATTTCAACTTCTCCCTGGTTACTCATCTGTTTTTAAGCTAAAGAGCTTGTTACTTATTCGTGCAAAGTGCCTTATGCTATGAGACCATTCAGAATATCACCTTGCCGACACAGCCCAAGGAATCAGCAGCCGTTTTTGGTTTCAGGTCAAAGTTCCCCTCTCTTCCCCCTCTTCTCCTCCCCAAGTACTCGAGCCCAGGGCTGGGAGGTGAAACGTATTGGTAATACTACTTTTTTCTTCAACTTTTTTTTTTTTTGAATTGGAGGAGTTGATATGCATCTGCAGTTCCACCCACACTGTAAATACCTGTATTTAAAATGAAACCAACTTAAAATCTGGGCTGATTAGGTGCAGCATCGTAGCTCCAGAAGGAAAGAGTAGCCTGTCGTCCTTTGCAGGAGCCATAACAAAAGCCCTATGCTCTAGCAGAACACTAAAGACTGGTTTCCGTAAGAGTCTCCATTAGTAGTTACAGCACTTGATACGTAGACTTGTTTCAGAGCCATGGCCCTCTTTCCTCTGGTGCAGTGTGTCCCATAGAAAATCAGATGTGTATATTGTACAAACTTTGTAAATATGATTTTTTTTTTTCTGTTTGGGTTCATATATAACTTTTTCTTTTGTGATGAAGGTTGCTGGCGTTAAAGGGATTAGACTGATTATGGGAGCAGCTAAAGATGAGAGGGGCTCAGTTTTCTGCAACACTAAACAATGAGACGTGCTCTGACTTCCGTGAAGAGCAGACCTCTACAAGCGTCCCTTGTCAGGGTGGGTTTGCTCTGGTGCTAGCAACACTGTCCTGTACCGCTCGTATGGAAGAGATCACTTGTGGGGCTGCGAGGCCTCAAAATCTGTAACTCGGCCTGTTGGGAGATGCTCTTCGATTTGCCTCTCTTGGAACCTTTGGGATCTTGACGAGCTCTGAAGGGGGCCGTGCCCTGTGTTCCACCGTGGCGTGAGGGAAATCCGGCGGGTGTCAGTGTTGCTGAGCAGTATATGCATAAGGCATGGATTTGGTTTACGAGAAACCATAGAAAACCGATTTACGTGCATAAACTGACAGTTCTGGAGCTTTGTGGGATCGATTTACTTCCTGCAGCGTTGTGCGTTTTCTGCCCAGAGCGGCCTCTATACAGACTTGTGAGCAGGTAGGGGCAAAGCCGCGTTGATGTCAGAAGCTGCAGAAAGCTGCTTGCCATCTCCTCTGTTTTGGCATGAATTGCTGTCTGTCATTTTTGCATTGTATATTGCTGAAAAGTGCTTTCTGGTCACGTAGTGTTGCTTTAAATTGTGCCCCTCCCAACATGCTTGATGTTTGGCCTGATCTACAGGCAAAAGGAGTGAGACAAATCAAAAACCGTACTCTTTTTAAAAAATTCCCTTTTAGCCTGTTCACCAACGCTGTCAGGAGGCACCTGGACGAATGCAGTCCCTTTTGCTCAGTCGTTTATTGCATATACAGATGCTGCACTCGCACCACGCTTGCTTACCTTCGAGGCGGGAATTAATTGTCTTAATTTCTCTCCGTTTTGACCCTTTTTCTTTTTTTCAAATTCGAGTCAAATTGATTGGAAAGACAAGGCGGACTTACCCGTCCGTTTCCTTGAGGAACGTAAATAGAAGCCAGGTGCCTCCTGACGACAACTTTACGAGACGGAAAGGGTTTTGCGTTTGGAATTTCTTTTTTCCTTTTGTCAGCGGTGACTCCATAACTGTAGCAAATGCTGCACTAGAGTACAAACTCAAGAGCTTGGTCACAGACACTCTGTGAGCCACACAGCTTACATCTGACTGGCAGGTACTAAATGTAAACAATTTTGGGGTGCTTTTGGGGGGGGCGGGGGTGGGAGTTGGGGGGTGGTAACTTTGACCAAAAGTAAAATCTGCTCTTGTACTGCAGCCAGCTTATGATTTTCCGGAGAGACGGAAGAGGGATCATTTTAGTGCAACAAAGACATGAAAAATGTAAATAAAAGTTTTGTACTTTACCAGGGCATGCACATGTAACAAGAACAGGATAGCGATGTCGAGTCAGATGTGTGTGCTCTGCTTGGATTTGTGGTAGGTTAGCCTGGTGCCATGTGTCGATGGTCCCTCTTGAAGCACAGAACTTTTGAAAGTATTACTTCAAACTTGGCCTCTAATTGAGGATTGGCACTTACCTAAACTATCGGGGGCACCATCTTTAGGAGGCTTCTTGTCGAGAAGGAAGCAGCCTATGTTTGGTGCTAGTAGGCTATCTCTAACAGATGCGATCTTGCAAATGGAAAGATGCTCCAAACGACTAGGATAATCCTAGTTCTTTTGTTGTTTTGTTTTTGGTTTTTTTTTTGGTTGTTTTTTTCCCTACCCAGGAGCGAGGAGCCTGTATAAATCTCGGCTTCCTGAGATTCCTTGCGAGCTCCTGATTTTGCTGGTCGTGTACCAGCCTTTACCTGAATGCGTTAGTCGGAGCCCTCGCTGATGAGCCCTAGGTCAAATACTTCCTCTGACAAAGGTGACGTGAATGAGAATCCAATGTATTGTGTGCTTTTCCCCTCGGAAGTCTAAAAGGGCGTCATGCCGTGAATCTGATGAAATGGAGCTTCACAGCTGGGTGAAGTGGCTGTGAAGCGGGTGACGCCAATCGTCAGCCGGCTTACTCGAGAGAAGCTGTAGGCTGGTCTGCGGGAGTGCTCTGTCAGGAGTGCGCGACAGTTGCTGGAGGGCTTTTTCCCAAAGGGCGGGGGGTGGGTCGGTCTCAAATACGTGTTTCAATTTCCAGAATGAGATGGGAGCATCTTTCCTTTGCCCTCTGACTTGTTTTGTGGGTAAGAACAGGGAAGCTCAACATGAATTCATGTTGTGTACGTGTTGGTATCAAATCATCTCATTCTGATCTTTCGTTCTTTATTTTTACTTGGGGTGGGGGAGGGTGTCTGCTCCAGGGATTTAAAAATGCTTCACACGCGTATTTTTTTCAAATGACTGATAGGACACAAACCCGACCAGGCAGCTGTCCTGCCCCGGTTTGTGTTCTAGAGGTTACGGAGGTGCCGTGCCATGTCTCCCAAGCTGCCGCTGCGGTGGTTCTTGTCCTGGTGCTGGACTTTGTCACGCCGCTGGGGCCGAGCAGCTGGTGCTTTCTGAGGACGGAGTGAATTTTGTTCCCAGGAAGTCCAGCGGTACAGCCGCCGTGGCAAAGGTTGGGCAGCAGTAGTCCGTGCAGGGAGTTTTCCGATTGCTGTGAACTTCTGGTCCAACTTTTGTGAATCTCAGTTCGTCTTCATAATAATCAACCAGGTCTCTGGACCAAAGAGCATGCATCCGATCTTCAAAATGAGGCTTTGGCAGATTATCCTGTAGGTTTTGCTCCGTTCACCTTTGTGTCCCTGAAACGTCCCTGTGTGGAAGCATTGTTAAATTCTGCTGTAGACAAGTTAGGGAAGGGTCAGGAGGGGTGGGGGGAGGGATGGGTTTATTAAGATACAGCCTTGCTGTATTTTAACCAATAATTACGGGGAAGGGGTGTCAGGAGAAGAAAATAGTCACTGTTCCCTTTATTGAAAGAAACTGGAACCTTTATTTCAAGAAAAGAAATTATTTGCAGTTCAGGTGGAGTATTATAATCCACTGGTCCCTAGTCAAGACGTTGGTATTCTTACTGTTAACCAGCAAACAACATGGACTTGTCCTTGAAAACATTCAGGGGAGGGAGGGGAGAATTGGCTTTCTGTTAAATCGGTAATTGGCAAACTCTCCAGTGGAGCTCAGATTTTGTTGAGAATGTGTTTTCTCTGGCTGTGTGTGCGTTGCAGCACTGACTTGTGAAGAGCTTCACGAGTTCCGAGTGCAAAAAAGATGAATGGTAAAATCCTGATTTTGTTGTCTAAACTCAATAAAAGCTCCCTGGAACTCCGTTTTGGTCTCTCTTTTCCTTTTAACTGCGCTGAGCAAAAAGCGTGCTGACCTCGTAGCGGAGAACCCCGGCACACGTCGGATGCTCACGAGGAGCTTTGGAGAGAAGCCTCAGGAAGAGGAGTCAGGCTTGATACCGGGGAATGCTCTCCGCCCTCGAGAGTGACGCGCAGCTACAAGAGGCATTCGCTTTCCTTGCAGACCCTCCAGCTTGGGGGCACGTGCCCTTCCAGGGTCCGGTGCTCCGCAGTCTCGTCTCCGCTAGACTGGCAGACTTCACCTGGCGTCTGGTTGCAGTGCCGAAATAACCCTGACTTCCACGATGAAGAGTTTCTCTAAGGAGTCAGAGCAGCACTGCGGAAGTCTGCTGAGGCTTTCTCTTTTCGTCTTTCATCGAGAGTCGCCCCTGAGCTCTGCCCTGCCGGCAGCTTGCGCTGCGGGGAAGCTTCTGGTGTGTGCTGCGGCTCTGGCTGCGTTGGATCACGGGCAGGACAGCTGTGTGAGCGGCTCTTCCGCAGGTAAACAGAGGGTCTGGGATGTGGCGGGCTCTTCTGACCGGGGTGACTTGCGGTCTCGGTTGAAGTAGCTGTGAAAGGAGCGCTGCTTTTTATCGCTTACATCTGAGGGAAAGCTGGCTAGAAAGGGAGGGAAAGCTGCTGCCACGCTTGAGGAGGTGCGTTAATACTGTATCCCCGACCCGTGGTCAGTTCTCTCCTGGAGACCGGAGTAGCTGAGCACCGTCCCCATTTACACGGGGCGCCGTAAAAACTATTTGGGTAGCCTCGGGGAAGAGGCCTTATAAAACAGACCTGGTGCACGCAGCTGAAGTGCAGCGTGAAAGTGTTACGGCAAATGTCAAAAGCGAGACTGCAGCTTTTCAGCAGAGAGCTCTTGAAGTGGAGGAAAAGGGTTGTCTTTTTCAAAGCACTTCTTGAACATTAAGCTGACGGTGATGTGAAAGCTCCAAAAATAGCTTGTAAGCTGTGACCGAGGCTATGTGACGGGGAACGGCGCGAGACCTCCCTGAGACTGAAACTCACCGGCTGCTATCTGAAAACCTCACAGGTAATTGTCCAGCTGTCGTAGTGTAACCAGGCAGCCGGCAACTAAGCACCAGAGAGGTGCTGGGTCACCCCTCCCCTTCCCCCCCCAGCAGGACTCCCAGGGAGGAGAAGCGGACAAAAGGGGAAGCTCATGGGTTGAGGTAAAGACAGTTTAATATGACAGCAAAGTACA